ACTTCCAAGTGGAAAGCGATCGCCCTCACTTAGGGTTTAGGGGCTTAGGTGAGCAGTTGGCTATTGCTGACCCCAACAATCAGTCTGCGTCCCTATGACCCCTGAGTCGTGTAGATCGTGGTCCTGAGTCTTGAAGCCCAGACCCTATAAATGTCTGGACGAGATAGAACCCTTGTACATCCCTGCCCAAGTCCAATCCCTGCTTCAAATATAAATTCAAGTAGCTAGACATCAAATCCCTGGCATCCAACCCCTAGGCCTCTATGCTAGATAGTCACAGATCGATAAGCTGAGCTAGCTGCTACAACGTAGGTCGAGAAACGATGCAATAGCCTGGAGGTTTTTGAACAGCCGGAGTTTGTGGCTTCGGGGCCAGCTAAGCAGATACTCCAGATCAGGTCTGTACTTCGGGACACAACTTCTGACTAAATATGTGCTTGGGCCATGGGCCTAATTTAGGAGCACCCAGCGGCAAATTATTTACTCGATCCCAATATTACAGGCCGTATATACATATATATGTATAGATATATATACACACACCTTTCCAGGCCCGACCTCACTTGATATGTAGTCTTAAAGTGCACACCGCCCCGAATTAAGAAAATTAGCAGTACTCAGCAAAGCTTATTCGATAGGTTTGTCGAACCCCAGAGCCCCCGATAAGCGAAATCTCAACACCTCGGCAGCAATCACTGGCCCAGTGCTGCGAGAGCTCTCTCAGCTTTGTTGATCCGACACCAGAACCCCAGAGCCTAAACCCTGAGCCCTAAAAGACTCTAAGTGCCTATAGTATAGCATCCCGGTATACAGGGCTTACGTATCGGATTAGCATACACCCACAACCTGCAGTATATATATATATATATACAGGCATAAATGCTGTAGTTCTCCTTGAGGATGTACCGGCCGGTGTATGCTTATCATGTGCCAGCTTGGGTCTTCTCTTAGCCAATAGGATGTAGAGTTTTGTACGTACTATATAAGGTGTACGGGCTAGGGGTCTCTTATATATTTAGTCTAGGATGTACGGTTTTGTATGCTTGTGTACGGGCTTGGGGTTTGGTTTCAGTCTAGGATGTATGGTTTTGTACGCTTTTGTACGGGCTCGGGTTTTTTAATTAGTGCAGGATGTACGGTTTTGTACGCTTGTGTACGGGCTTTGGTTTTCTATTTTGGTCTAGGATGTACGGTTTTGTACGCTTGTGTACGGGCTTGGGGTTTGTACTTTAGTCTAGGATGTACGGTTGTGTACGCTTTTGTACGGGCTTGGTGTGGGTGTACAAATTTGTACGGTTGTGTACGGGCTTGGGTTCTCTGTCCTAGGTTCCGCATGCATAAGTTCGGCTTTTTCACTAGCTATTGGTGTTTCGTATGCGATCGCAGCATCAAGTGAAGCCTGCTTTCCCTGAAGAACCCATGCCTGTGGCTTGCCTCTGGCCATTTGCTTCAGCGGATCCAATTCGATGCCAGTGGCCCTGACGTGTTGCAACAGGCAGGCACTGTACGATATCGACATATAGCTTTTCCATCCAAACAGACACAAGCGTACAAAACCGTACGTATTCGTACATCGTAGTCATATATGAAAGAACCGTACGCATACAAAAGCGTACAAAATCGTACATCGCTTATGATCGACAGTTCGTTGCTGAAACTGACTTTGGGCACCTTACCTGGCTGGCCAGTACGTGGTAGTTTAGGCTTGCCAATGGCTGATTCACAAGTGTTCTTGCCTTGGCATGACGACCTGAAGCAAACCTTTATTCTATAAGTGTATTCTTCATTCCTAAGGTCGAATGATACACTGCTTCGTGGGCTCTCCTTCATGGACAAGTCTTACGAAGCCCAGGCCAGGTTCTGCCAAGGTATGGATCTAGGATCGTTCCGCCAGCTGTTGCAGGCAGATCTTCGTGCTGCTAAGCAAGAGATTGAGGAAACAGTTTCTAAGCTGCAACAAGACTTTTGTTGGGGCCCCATTTATCAAGTCCTACTGGCAGGCTGCAACGGCAGAAGGAACGAGAACTGCATATGCTACGAGTGTAGCTGTGACTTGTCTGAATGGATTGTAGCTCTCTCGTCGGGAATACAGCTGCTGACTATGCTGCATTTGCACGCTGTATTCTGATGAAACTGATTAAGTTAACCTATCTCAGGATTCAGAAGCTACGCTACCTTGGGATGGAGTGCCAGCTGCAATGCAAGGAAACACACAGCGGGATGATGCAATGGACGACTTCTTGAACAAGGAGCTCGAAAGGCTTATCGAGGAAGAGGCGGCACTTCAGTCTGTTGCTTTTTTTAATGGTTGGGACCACTAAGCTACTAGACACTTTTAATTGACCCTTTCGCAGCAAATACCCTGAAGCCTAGTATTGCCTTAGAGGGGATTGATTAATCGATCGTCACATATATAAGAAGTGCAAACCTTCCTTGAAGAGCAAGTCTTGTATCCTGATCCTGCAACCCCAGACAGACTCTAAACCCTCAAAGTTGGCATTTGAAACCAATTAGCGCGCCTTGTCAGGAAGCCCGTGAGAAGCAGGCTGCAGCACCTGAGAGTGCTGAAGGGCAAAAGCTTGAGAGTGAAAATGAGCGAATTCAGAGGGAATACGAGGAAAGTATGGTACGTGTCGCTATGGATGCTAAGAAACGAGCAGAAGATGAAGCAGCAGCAAAGAAAGCGAAGCAAGAGGAAGATGAACGCGTGATCAAGGAACTCCAAGCAGAGCTTGAGCGAAAGCTTTTCGAAGAAGGTCAAAAGAAAAGACAGGAGCAGGAAGCAGAAGCGGCAAAGAAAAGGCAGGATCAGGAAGCAGAAGCGGCAAAGAAAAGCAGGAGCAGGAAGCAGAAGCGGCAAAGCAGGCAGCAGAGAAGCAACGACAGGAGCAGGAAGCAGAAGTGAAAAGGCGGGCAGCAGAGAAGCAACGGCAGGAGCTGGAAGCAGAAGTGCAAAGGCTGGCAGCAGAGAAGCAAAGACAGGAGCAGGAAGCAGAAGTGAAAAGGCAGGCAGCAGAGAAGCAACGGCAGGAGCAGGAAGCAGAAGCAGTAGCGAAAAGGCTGGCAGCAGAGAAGCAGCAGCAGGAGCAGGAAGCAGAAGCAGTAGCGAAAAGGCAGGCAGCAGAGAAGCAGCGGCAGGAGCAGGAAGCAGAAGCGAAAAGGCAGGACGCAGAGAAGCGGCAGGAGAGCCAGAAGCGAGAAGCAGTGCCAGAGGAGAGTGAGGAGATCCGTCGTCTGCGGCAGCGGATTACGGACCTTCAGGCCACAGGAAGCATGCCGTCGTCGTTCACCGCCTTCAAGATGGCATTCACTGAAAGCCCTCAGAAGTCGTCCGTTGGTCGCGACTTAAGCCCTTTGTCGCTAGAGCTGAAGAAGGCGAAGGAGGAGGAGGACTTCTTGAAGAAGGAAGTTAAAAGAGCCCAGCTGCAGCAGGTGCGCGCTAGAACCGAGGCGTTGAGGGCAAGACTTTCGGAGAGTGATCCAGATGGGGCGGTGAAAACTCCGGAGCCCAAAGTGCCTGCAAGCTTCAGCCCGCCGCCCAAAACACCAGCACCGGCAAGCAGCCCTGGCCCTTCGAGCACGCCACCACTGCCCAAGTCCCTTCCAGCAGTCGCTGTCACCCCACCGGCCCAGCTCAACAGGAGCAGCCCTCTAGAAGCAAGCAGCCAAGGGAGCAGTGAAGCTGGAGAGAAAGGTGACGAAGCAGCTACGCATGCATATACATCGATTTTTGTAATATGTTTTTTCGTTTTAATAACCCATAAACCCTATTTACAAGCCTGTTTCGTATCTCAGGACAAGAAAAAGGCGGCAGCGGCGGCATTGCAGACTGTGCGCCGTCTAACGACAAATCCACACAAATGCACCTTGGAGATTCTCGAGCAGTGGCGAAATGGTGGTGAAAGCCGCAAGAACATTGTGCAGCTGTTCTTCCAGAACGGATGCGATGTTACCAAGACCACCGTCAGCTTCATCCTGAAAGACATCATGATGGAGCCTATTTCTAAGTTGCCTCGATTGTTCATGCAGTTTGCCAATTCAGGGTCCCTAAGTCATTCGGTGATTCTATAGAACTAAGGCAAGAGAAGAAGAAGAAGGAGGCATTGACTGAAGAGCAGGTTTATGCCCACTATGCCCCGAATCAAGACAAAGCGAAGATGGCGATCCACTTTGCTGTGCAGGAAGGCCGCAGGTATCTCAGTGTATTGCTGTCTGAAAGCTCCTATTCGATGTTGAGACTACAGCAGAATTTAATTCCATCCTAAGGTTTCAGAGATGATCCGAACTTCCCCGTGGGATCTGGGCACAAACTCTTCAACATCTTTACTGAGATGTCTGAGACGGAGCTTTTTGAGAAGCGCCGAGAGATCGAGGCGAATGTCCGCTCGCTGGCTCAGGATCAACGACCACTTGCGAGACAGCTCTTTCAAGAGATGCACCCTAGCTGCAAAGCAGATATTCGAGAAATAATGTGTTTCGATCTTTGCCACTCTAAGCAACTTGTACCCCCAAGAATAAAAATGTAAACACGCCATAACCCAACTCCCTGCAAACCCCTAAACCCCTATATAAACCTTAAGCCCTGAAACTTGCATCCTTGGTGATTGCATACTATCCACAATATGATGATCGTATCAGGTTGCATTCCGCTGCAACCTAATGAATACTAGAACCCTTAAACCAAATGCCGAACTCTTAACCACCACCCTAAACCCTTAAACCGAAATGCCGAATGTGAAACCTTGTACCCCAAATCCTGATTACACTTGGGGCGGCCACTGATCCAGGTCTTCATCGCTGCCCGCTCCGGAGCCTTCGGCAAAAGCGGCTCCGGAGAATGCTGCTGGAGGCTGGCTATCATACTGCTCTTAAACCCCAAAGCCCCAAACCTTAAACCCGACAGCCCTGCAGGCCCCACTCCGGAACCGAAGGCTCTTGGGAAGGCGGCAGCTGCGAAGGGTGGGGCCAAGGCGAAAGCAAAAGCAAAGGGGCCACCGGCCATGAAGCCCGGGATTTTTGAGCTTGCAAAGTGCCGGGCATCCGATCTACGTGAGGCCCTCCCACGGTTCAACCGCCAGGATACGAAAAAATCGATGGAGAAGGAGATCCTGGGTAAGGTGCCAATCTTTTGGGGTACGAAAACGATTTTAATTTGAATTAGGGTATTGGGACTTTATGTAGGGAAATGATTATGATAAGTGTAAGGTGTTTTGTCATGTGGGATGGCTGGAACTTTAAAGCCCTAGTAATAATCGTACGATATTGGATGAACTTCTCCCTGAGAGGTTGGTGCCTGTGCTCGGCTCCAGCTCCAGCTGCAGGGCCTGGATGAAGCCGAGATGGTGTTGGCTTCGCTTAAGACAGTGAAGGATGCCCTGGAATCGAAGTACAAGGTGCTTGATCTGGATCGTTATAATGAAGTTCTCCACAAAACTGTTGCAGGATCTGAAGATGCTGGATGATACAGTCGATGAAGCCGAATGGCAGGAAAAAGTCAAGGCCATGCAAGCTTCAAACCCTTTGCCTTGCTCACTATCTCTCTCTCTCTCTCGCTCTCTGTCCCTCTCCCTCTCCCTTTAAACCCCTAACCCTAAACACCAAACTGTCACAGGACGTGGCAAAGGCTTATCTGCTGTTTGTCTCCAAGGAGGACAGATCGACACACGACACAACAGGATACATGTGTTGCTGGGAACTGTGTGCCTAAGCTTGGGCTTGAACGATGCTACGGGAATTCCGCGACGAGCATAAGAATCCTCAACCATTATCCCTTAAACCTTAACCCGTATCCCTAATCCTAAGCCTGAGTCAGGGACTATGGTGAGTGAAGCATATATAGTACACTAATGAAACCACAAATCCTGTTTTATCCAACTATTGGCAGGACTTCGCAGTGGGTGTGGCGAGGGTGCACGCCCTTAAGGACAAGCGCAGCTGATGCATCTGATTCTGAGAAAAGCCAAAGCTTATGGGATCAAAGTACATCATGTACCTTTAAGTAGTGGCCATGTGCTGGCTAAAGTGTATGCTAGCTGTGCTTTCCAGGTTTCTATGGTTCCATAGGCTAGTGGCTGATCGTGGCAGCTGGGTAAGCGGCACTTGCTGTTCTCGAGGTGCTATGATGTAGTAAGCAGATACATGTCTGTGGCAGCAAGCGCCCACCAGTGCAATTTGCACTTTTCTGGGATTGGCTGCAAGAGCTGGGGACAAGCAAGGGTTTATTCAGCTACAAGGGTTTTCAGGAACCGCAAGGGTTTATTCAGCTACAAGGGTTTTCAGGAACCGATGTTTTTGTTGCATGGCCAGTCCGTGAGTATCACGAGCATTGCCATCTTTAACAGCTAGCTGTTGTTAGAAGCTTTAGACTATCTACGACTCCAGTGATCTTGTATATTGAAAACTACATATGCAATACTCTGCAGGGCACTCGTGTTGGTACAGGGCCTTTCGTTTTTTGCTATGCTGGCTTGCTGGGTCCAGGCATTAGCTGCTGGCGGAGATGTCATATAGAAGGCTGTATCAGGCATACTAGGTTAGCCTTTTGAAATTTGCCAGCTCAGCTGACTCAGCTTGTCTGCTTTTCAATGAGTCGCTCTAGCTCTGGGTAGAGGCACGATCAGGCTGTAGTAGTGATTGGCAGTATTGATGGCATGTAATTACACAATAGCTGCAAGCCTGTCGTTGCCCACCAGGTGCGCGATGCAACTCCCTCAACCCGACTCCTGTTGGATGCAGAAAAAAACAAGTATTAAGGATCACCCATATAATTCCTCTCAGGTCTTTTGTGTTGCTCACGCTGCCTCCTTCGCTCACTGTCCCTTGCATTTCTGCATTTCTGTTTGTTTTCCCTCTCTTTTGCTCGTTGCTTAGCTTACTGTGAATGCTCCCACGCAGGCCTTCGTCCGGAAGCCAAGGCGAAGAATCAGCCGAGGAGCGAAAACCTGGTTTCAAGAGTACGTGTTGCCTCTGTGTCTTTTCAGGGTGCCGTCATAACCAGCCCTATCGCAGGAAGCGAGATTCGCCGAAGCTTCGGCAATTGAAACAACGACTGGCTGCCAAACTGGCTACGAAATCTAGTGCTGCTGGAGAACCGCAAGATCTACATGTGCCTGGGCAGTTTGGGCTTCCTTACCGGTTGCAGAGTCTGGCTGATGCATCTTTAGCCCGCACGGCTGTTGGATCCTTAAAAAAGAAGAATGCTGACTGCAATTATATTGCTGAACTCTGCAATGCTGCTGAAGAAGAAAGTGGAAACCAGATGAGCTGGGTGACGAGGACACTTGGTGGCCGCAAGACAGAGAAACGCTTTCACCAATTCTTCTCGAGATCTATTCCGAAGGTGTCAACCGTCATGCTACCTTTGGTGACTTCAAAAAGGAAGAAGACAGTGGAAGTGAAGCCATGCAGAATCTTCGCCGAGCTCCAGAATGTGTTTATTTAAACCCTGAAACCAGGAGCCCCTACTGATCTCAGACTCGGGATCAATCCAAGGCATCGTGCTTCCAAGCTCTTATATGTCATGGTTGCAGAAGCGGCCCTGGATCTTGAAAGCCATCTGCTTTGGCAACTCTACACAGGAAGAGCGCCAACTGTTACTTGAATTTGCAATCTTAGAAATAGGTTAAATAGGTTTCCAGGGGCGGCAAGCTAGTGCAACCAACCAGCTCAGGCTGAGCTCTACTCTGCAAGGTGCTGGCATTGGCTACACAGGAGGCTTATTCTTGAAACCCCAAACCCCCAAAACCCTAAAATCCTAAGCCATATGGTATCGATTTTTTGTGAAACCCAAAACCACACAAATCCACCCAAACCCTAATCTCCTAAACCATAGCTTATTCGTTTCTGTGCGCAGGGCCTTCTGATCTGCCAGCGCGATTCCATGGAGATGAGGGCCCTGGGCAGAAGTACAAGAATGTGTTGGTTATCAATATGTCGTTTCCATTCTCCCATTCTGGTGAATCTTGTCTGCAACTTAACTACTAGTGGATGTGACATGGCTTAGCTGCTCTTCAGTGTGTTAATGCCAATTTGTAAACAACTGAGGACACACTGAAGACACGTCTTTGCATCGCATGCTTAACAGGACAAACTGTCCTCACGAGGGCGATGCAAAAGAATCGGATCGGTGTCCACCATGAGTGTACTTTGGATGTGCTGTTTAGACACATCAATGCAGACTTGGAGAAATTGCCCCCAGGCTTCAATAGACTCCTGTATGTTGCATGCATGAGTCTTCACCTAGCATCTACAGATGTTTCCCAGGACATTTGATTCTGGTGGAGTTTGCGGCCGAAGGCTTTGCTTCTTTGGTCTGGCGGGCGATCAAAAATGGTTTCAGCAAATGCTGCAATTGCCAGCTCCCTACATCAGCTTGCTTGAGTTTCTTCCATTGACAACCCAATGTCAGCTTGCTAAGTCCGCGACATTGGAAGGGCAACGGCGAGGCCAATGGCAACAGGAGCCCATACTAGTTGTGCGCATGTTTTCGAAAACTTGATCTTCATGTGTGACTCTGCCTTCTGCCATGAGCTTGTCTGCAGGATGTGTATGCAATGCCAGTGACATGGCAAGACGTATCAGCTGAGCCAGTCGTCAGTCTAGCTGCCCCAATTCTGAGCTCCATCCGAGGTTTGCCTCCACTGTCGATCCAGTAGATGGACAAACCTTTCTATCCCCTGGGTCTGGACATTACATGAACTGCTTTGGAGATTCGCCCTGGGAGCTTTGTGGATTGGAAAGCAAAGATGAGTCTAGCCTTATGAAGTACAAGTTTGTATGTATCGACATTCGGAATTTCTCGGATGGGGTGCTTATAACTTAGGTTTACAGTTTAGGGTTCAAGGCCTTTAAAGAAATCCTTTGATCCATGTAGCTAGCAAGCCCAGCCGAGGACTTCTTGCAGGAACTGCTGAAAGCCCATGGGGGTTCCTTACCCGAGATCTGCAACATCACCGGCTTTCACAACAAGCTCATCCACTATGATACGCTTCATGTGTGCTACAGGGGCTTCGCCCCGGACCTGGTAGCATCGGTGATGCTTGATATCTTCCCCGATCGGGGGGGCTTGATCAAGGCTCATGACCTGTGTTGTCTGTGGGCGAAAGCTAATGGTGCTGAACTCGCTTGCGACGACTTCATATTGAATGCTGATGAGAAATATGCCACACTTAATGCCAAGGGTGCTGACATTAAGCTTGTTTGCTTATGGCTTGCCCTTGGGATCTGAAGAAGTGGAGCATCAGGTTTCGTACATTTTGTTTTGGTTAGAAATTTAATTTAACCCTACAGTCTCATCATAGATATTTGCAACCCGACTGACTCTACTAGCGAAGGCTGAAGTCGTTCCAGTGGCAGTGTCAAGCTGGGCCGACACTGACAAAGCTCGGGTCCTGAAGATGATGCCTGACTCTAGCTTTCGAGGGCCAATTAAGCCAAGATAAAACACTCAGCCGCTCTTGTGCCCTGAATTCACAAGTTTAAGACCTGCCTAATTCCCGATCCTAGGACGATGAGAGCTTTGGCCAAAATGATCCTGCTGATGGAGGAGCACCTGTATGTCATGCCATTAGCTGCAGTGGACAAGGCGAAAAAGCTGGCTCGGCGGTTTCTTCTGGGATATCTGTGGCTGAGCCATGATGCTTTTTCGGCAAGCAACAGCCGCTACAAGATTCGCCCGAAGACACTTTGCGGCACGATTGTGACTTTCTGATTCACTTGTGGCTTTCTGATTCACTTGTGGCTACATTTTCTGGTAGCTTCCATTGTGCTTGTGTATCCAGGCTTCATACCTGGTGGCACATGTTTGCCAATCTGGCCGAGCTTCCGCTGAACCCGCGCCTGAATTCCTGTTTTGGGGACGAAGACTATGTGAGGAGACTGTGCTCCATAGACTCTTGGCTGTACCTATGTGCATTTCCATCCTAGCTTGTGGCTGCATCACGAGCACCATGAACATCAGCATGTCCGTCTGTGTGTAAATACTTTTATTTATGTATGTATAACATGCGTCAAAGAATCCTGTGAGCAATCGATGAGATCCTAGGCATCTGGGTGTCATGCGGCTACAGTGCATCGACAGGCTATTAAGAGATACCTGACAGCTGCAATTCCGCACTGGTTCTCGAGCTTTGACAGATCCGAGTGATGGAAAATCGTGTTGGGGGAAAGGAAAGGGTCTAGGGTTTTAGGCTTTGAGGGCCTGGGAACCAAAGGTGGAATTCTTTCTCTGAGCGATCTGGGAATTTTAGAGCATTAATCCTGAGATCACAAGGCTCCGATTCAAGCCTGCTAAATCCCAGACCAAAGGATCGAAACAGATTGCCCTGCCCTGAACCCTGAGGCCTAAACTCTTAATCCCAAGCCGTGCAAGAACCCAACGCCCGAAGTGTACCCCAAGCCCGGCACCATTCTCATCGGAAACCCTGAACCCTGAACCCGCCTTAAACCCTGAGCCCTAAGCCCCGAACCGAAACGCGCGCCAAAGCCCAAGCTGTTAAATCGTGAACAGACCCGTCTAACACCAGACTCTCAAGGCCTGAACCCACAAAAACCTGCAGCTTCAAAGGCGTAACCCATGTCCCAACCATATAATCCAGGCCCTAAGCCCCGAACCTTAAGATATGGCTCAAGCTGGTTCAAGAATCCCGGATCCGGGATGATGTCGTGACAAACCCAAGACCTCTGTCTCACTAACTTCTGTGTCAAGAAGCGTCCAAAAGACGACAACTGTCAAAGGATCTATTGCAGATCAGGCAGATTGCAAATCCATAGGCTGAAGCGAATTCCCAAAGCGACTTGGCCAGCCCTGTCGTCGTAATCCACAAGCTTTATTTCAGGAGTTGTCACGAGCACCTATGCAAGAACATATGAACTCTTGTTTTTTCCATATGGAAATCTAAAAATGCCTACCTACCTTCTCCCGGTGGTTTTGTGAAAATGTGCTTTTCTCTAAAACGATACCCATTCACCTTTTTTATTTGAGTTAAAGGCTCCTCCGGGTACGTGCACGTGGCCGAAGTGGGCGCCGAGAAGATCGTCTTGGACGGCGGCGACTCCTTCACCCACGCCGCCCTCCTGAAGCACACCCGGCTGTGCCATGCCATCACCTACGCCTCGTGCCAAGGCCTGACGCTCGAGGGGCGGGTCTTCCTGTGCGACACCGAGAGCCCGCACTTCACTCTCAAGCACCTTTACGTGGGCACCAGCCGGGCCACCAGCAGCGAGCTCCTGAGCGTGCTCTAGAAGGGGCACGCGGGACCGGCGGCCTCGTAATCCTTCAGCTGCAGATCGGTCACTTCGAGCAGTAGGCCGCACTGGTTGGACATCAACCATATTTGGCGCAGCTCGCACCTAACCCTGCACTCCCTGCCGGCGAGGTTGCCGGGCTCCGCCAGCTCCTCCTGATTGGGCCCCCACATGCGGACTCGCCCCCAGTCCATCTTCAGCTTGAGGTACGAGCCACCCCGCGGGCTCGTTTTCAGGCACGATTGGAAGCGGTCCTTCACGTCCGTTTGGGTGAGAAACTTGCCGAAGACCTTCGGCTCAGACAGCGACAGCGCCGTCAGGGCGCTGACGAGGTGCTGCTCGATCTCCTGGAGCTGCGCCTTCGACGCCTCGTCGGGCTCCAGGCACAGACCCACACGCTTGGCACTCGGGTCGTTGAAGGCGGCCGGGTGCCAGATGATCTTCTGCCACTCCGCCGACTGCCACACCGGTGGACCGCCGTTCCGGCGCAGGGGGACGTACTTGCCGCCCTTCGCGTTGATCGTCAGATCGCCGAGCTGAATCGCCGATTCGCAGGTGGCTTGCTTTTGCGGCTCCATGCTGCTCCCTTTTTATGTAACATAAAAATGCCGTCGCCCCAACGAATGGGACTTTGGGCGGTCGTCACGCTGGCGGGCGTCTTTCTCGGCTTGTGGCTTTTGTCGTCGCCCTGGGAAAGCCATGAGACTTCTGGAATTGTTCTCCGGCACGAAGTCGGTGGGCCGTGCCTTCGAGGCCCTTGGCTGGGAGGTAACGAGTCTTGACACGGACGCGACGACTCGACCCACCATCTGCGCCGACGTTCAGGAGTGGGACTACAGGACCTACCCGCCCGGGCACTTCGACTTCATCTGGGCCTCCCCAGTCTGCACGGAATTCTCGAGAGCCCTGACCCGACGACCCCGACGGCTGGAGGACGGCGACCGCCTGGTCCTGAAGACCATCGAGATCATCGGGTACCTCCGGCCTCGGTGGTGGGCCGTCGAGAACCCGCGAACGGGCCTGCTCAAAAGTCGGCCCTACATGCAAGCGCTGCCTTACAACGATGTGTCCTACTGCATGTACGGCTTTCGCTACCAGAAGACCACCCGAATATGGAACAACCTGCCTTGGATTCCCAGCCAACCGGTCTGCTCCAAGCACGGCCGCTGCGAAGCCTTCCGAGATGGCCGGCACCCCGAAACCGCTCAGAGGCAAGGCAGCCGGCACTGGCCCGGCCAGACCCGAAACCAGTTGTACTCCCTGCCGCCCCGGCTGTGCCAGGACATCGCGGAGAGCCTGGAATAGAAATGGGAAAGGTGAAGCTCTTCCCCACCACCGAGTACACCTCAAAACAGCCACGCGACCCGATCGTTCCCCGCGTGCCGTGCACGGGCATCTTCCTCGGGCCCTCGAAATCGGGGAAGACGGTGGCCCTGATCTCAGCCATCCTGGACCAGTACATGACAAGCGGCGGCGAGTCGGTTTTCGAACGGATCTACATCTTCAGCCCGAGCATCGAGATCGACGACGCCTGGAAGCCCGTGAAGGATTTCATCGAACACCGCATGGGCGTCAACACGGAGCGGGAGCAGGTCTACTTCGACAAGTGGGACGAGGGGGCCCTGCGCACCATCATCCAGCAGCAGAAGAAGATCACCCGGACCACGAAGGAGCTGGGCTTCAAGAAGCTCTACCAGATCCTGATCGTGATCGACGACTTCGCGGATCAGCCGGAGCTCCACCGCCGCACCGGCGACGGGGCGCTGGACACGCTCTTCATCCGCGGACGCCACATGCAGATCTCGACCTGGGTCTCCTCCCAGAAGCTCCGGCTCATTAGCGCTGCGGTCCGGGTGAACATGCAGTTCATGTGCGTCTGGCGCCTCCGCAACCAGCTCGAGCTGGAAGCCGTCCTCGAGGAGCTCACGGCGCTGCTGCCCAAGAAGGAGCTGCAGGCCATCTACGAGGAGGCGACGAGGGAGCCCTACAGCTTCCTCTTCATCCACTATCTCAAGCCCCGGCCCGAAATGTTCTACAAGCGCTGGGAGGAACGCTTCGTGATCGAAAATGGGGACGATCCTGTCGCAGGTGGTGGGCAAGCTCCTGGGGGGCGGGCCGGTCTTGGACAGTGAGTGCCATTGCTGCAGCAGCACCCGCATCGTGGAACCGCGCTGGCCCTACCCTGAGCGGGCCCGGCAGATCAGCGACTCCACGGCCTCCGAGAAGTCGACGGGGCGGAGTTTCTTCCGGAGAAGGAAAAGGATGAGCTGCACGATTTACGTGGATAGCCGGAAGCGCATCGCCGGGGACGACTCTTCCTTCGAGTTCGACATCGGAGAGACCCTCCACCTCCAGACGGGCGCCAGGCTGTCGGTGCTGAAGTTTCGGGTGGCCGACGCCTTCCTCTCCACGGACCGCGGCTTCTACATGTACTGGATCGACGAGGCCCTGCAGACTCTCAATTGGGCTGTGCTTCCTGTTGGGGCCTACACCGGAGCTCGTTTGGCTAGCTGGATATCCTCCAACTACGCGAGCGCCACTTACGTGGAGCAAACGAACGAGATCGGAGTGGCCTACGACGCGAACCGCCGCATCCTAAACGACGCCGAGATCCGGAGCCTCTTTCCCGGCACCGGCTCTTACCCCGCCGGCGCCACGCCCAGTTGTTTCTTGAGCATGAACCACCTGCTCGGGCCCTCCTTCATCGAGGGCTCTCTCCAAATATTCACGTTCGTCACGATGAACCCCTACAGCGAGCTGTTCCTGCGCTGCTCCACGCTCGCCACCGCCGCCGACATCAAGGGCCCCCTGGGTCAGGACATCATCGCGAAAATGATTATCGACAAAGGCATCGGCAACATAATGCAAACGAGAACGGACGAGGGCCATTTCGTGAAACTCCACGGGCCCATTACCTTGCGCACCCTGCGCTTCAAGCTCACCGACGTCGACGGGAATGTGGTTAACACCCGCGGCACTTCCGTTTCCTTCGCGATTTTCCTCGACTATGAAACTTAAATGTTTAATGAAGTAAAATGACGGAGGAAAATGAGCTGGTGGTGGAGGAAACTCCTCAGGAGCCTCCAGCGACTGAAACCCCAGAGCCTGCTGAGGAGCCTGCTCCGGCCCCCGTGCCCGAGACGCCAGCCGCCCCAGCCCCAAAGCGAAGAGGGCGTCCGCCCGGAAGCAAAAACAAACCCAAGCCACCGAAAACGGTCCCGGTCGAGGAGGTCGCAGCACCAGCTCCCGAGCCCTCGCACACTCCGCAGGCTCCAAAGGCTCCAGCCACTCCCGAGCCTGCCCCGGAGCCCCCGCAGGCTGCCCCGCCAGTGGAGCCTGTGAGGATGACGCCCGCCCAGGAGCGGGCTCTCAGGTACATGGAGCGACAAGATAGATACATGCAGCTTCTTGCCCGAAACACTCTGGAACTGTAAAGAAGATGATGCCCCTCGAGAGGCGCAACGAACCCTTCATGCTTCGGCAGTTCCACAAGATGTACCCCAGCTACAACCTCAATCCCCTGATGCGCCGGCGGCACCAGCAGCTCGTCGAGGCGCAAGCTTTCAACGAGTGGCTCTCGAACCGCCGCCTCCGCCAAGAAGGCGAGACCTACGCCGACGAGCTCGGCAGGATGACGGAGGCCGTGAACCGACGGATCCCCCAGCTCCGCTACGCTCCGGCGGAGCGCGCGGGCATCCAACGCATGGCGCGGGACGTGGCCGCCGGCAGGAACACCAGCGACTCCCAGGTCTACGGGGGGATGCTGTAAGTAAATGGAGGAGCGCAGAAGCAACGGCTTCCGCGTGAAGCCCAGCTTCGGCCAGGTCCTCGGCTACATAGCTGAGGGCGAGCCCCTCGACATCCCCCTACCCAACCGCAAGGCGAGCATCTACACATCCAGCCACTTCTACCTGGACGATTACCCCAATGCCCCCGAGCCCAGCAGCGATGCACCGATGCCCCACACCCGGCTGAACCCAGCGGCTGCTTTTGAAACAGCCGACGAGGGTTACGACGGAGTTCCCTTCCCTCGCCCGCCCAGAGAGTTCACTCGCCCATCTTTTCTACCGGACTCCGATGACGGAGGCATGGACCCAGGCCAGGCCCTGCGCAACGACGGTCTGAACCCTCCGAGGCCCCCGACGCTCGGAGGTCGCATGAGGGAATCGGGCATCCAAGCCGCGGAGGCGATCATCGCAGGGGGCGCTGCGGGCGCTGCGGCGGCGACCCGAAGCGTCGCCGAGAACCAGACCTTCAACGTTTTGAGGGGCGGAGGAGATTGGCTGGACCGCACGCTGCGGATCCCGAGGAGGCCGCCCGGATTGGGCCCGCCGCCAGACGAAGTGCCCCCGCCGCAAATCATCGGCAGACCCTCCGAAGTCGAGCCCTTGCTGGAGCGAGCCGGCCAGAGAGCCGCGGAGGTGGAGCGAGCGGCCGCGCAAGACATCGAGCAGTTCGCCACACAGCAGCTGGCGGAGGCGGAAGCTTCAGAAGGCTTTGTCACGGCGGCGGAGGCTGCAGCGGCAGGGGCCGAAGCGGCAACTGCGGCGGAAGCGGGTGGAGGAGCTTTGGCATTGCTCGGCGAGGGAGCCCTCGCAGCTGCGGGGACGGTGGGCGCTGCGGCGGGAGGCTTGGCCGTTGCAGGCGCAGGCGCTGCTATCGTGGGAACTGCTTGGGCGATTCAGGGAGCCGCCAACATGGCGGGCTTCATGATGGACAATGCTGGAGGCGGCACGGACTCCGATGCCTCGCGGCCCAGCATGACGACGGATGTGCAGACGCTGAATGGGATGCAAGAGTCGGGCGCCGTGGACCACTTCCAGGTTCAGGAGATGCGCCGGCAGCAGCAGCGCCCGCAGGTCTTCAGGATCGACACGTCGGAGGACGAGCCCCAGCCGCAGGCACAGCCGCAGCAACGCATCGTGGCCCGCCCGGCTCGGCGGCCGAGGGCGCAGCCGATGCCCTTCGGCTTGAACGCCCCACCCATCCCGGTCTCTTCCGACAGCGACCGCTCCCGCATCAGCCGGCAGTCTCGCTCGGACCGCGGGCCCCTCGGCACCCAGCCGTCGTTCGACCAGTTGAGGAACGAACCGGAACTTGCGTAGGTAGTAAAGGGTCATGGAGAACATCTCACAAGGGGTCCAAGATGAGCTCGTACAAAGCCTCAATTATCGTCTGGCCTCTTCGAACGTGAACTATGTGATGAGCCGCAAAGACGTGCAATACTTTCCATCGAGTCTCTCGACGTTCACCCCCACCACGTCCAGAGTGGCTAGAATACCGCTTACGAGCGGTCGATCGTTCATAGATCCCGAGAGCGTCAAGATCGCTTTCCGGGTGCGCAACAACTCGGCCACCCTGGCCCTCAACCCCGGCACGCAGGAGCCCTCGTGCTTCATCAAGCGGGTACAGCTCTTCGCCAATGGTCAACGTTGTGATGACATCAGCGAATACGGGCGCTGCTGCTACCTGTACTCGCTGCTGAAGCCCGCCGAATGGTATAGGAACAAGGGCATCACGGGCTTCTGGGAAGTCGGCGGCGCGCCGGCGCCCATCCCGGCGGAGAGCTTCAAGGACACCCTCATGGCGCCAACTTTGATCGGTCTTTTCCAGGCAGGGCGATTTCTACCTCCTCAATTAAACCTAAGTTTGGAATTGGAATTTAGTGAGGCCGCCGACGCCCTGCGCCCCGGCGAAGGTTCGACGGATTACACCATCGAAAATGTCCGAGTTCTGGCCAGTCAAGTCGACCTTGATTCGGCGATGTACGACAGCTTCGAAAAAATCATGCTTTCGGGCAGAAGTTTGACGTTCGGGTATCCAACGATGCACACCCAGGTCTCCAGCATCCCCGCCGGCAGCACTTCTTTCAATGTAACAGTGGCTCGCGCCTGGAGCAAATTACTATAGGATGCTTCGTCACCTTTCGGGACGTCAACGATTTGCAGCTCGGCGAGTGCGCCAACTTCGAGCATCCGGGCGACGGGAACCAGTTCTCGGCAAACTCTCTGGAGTCCCAAATGCAGCTGGGAGCGCTCCAATATCCCCGCTATCCTATGGCCAGCGACGCGGAGGCATTCCACTTCCTCGAGATTTTGGCCGGAACCTACGATTCGACCATAAAAAATGTGAGAATTGCCGACAACCAGTGGAACAACAACCAGTTCATTTGTGCCTTCCCCGTGGAGCGTGTACCCAAGCACCCTCTGAGCGGCATCAGCACGCGCTCCGGCGACCTCGCGAGGTTCACCTTCAAGAACATGCAGCCGGACCGGGTCCAGAGAATATACATACACCAACTCAGTTATCAAATTGTAACGCTTTCAGGCTCCGGCGTGTCGGTCCTCGATTAGGATAATTAGGATAATCGCTATTTTGAGTGATTTTTGCACCCTTTTTGCCCTCTTCGAGCACCGTCGCCAGCTGGCCGGCGCAGAGCCCGGGCACTAGATGTAAATGAGTTTGTTTCCTTCCACTTTGACCGGGCGGATCCTGGACGACGGCGCAACACCCCCGCCGGTCATCGAGCTTCAGGGCATCTCCGCCGGCCAGCTGGCGACGGTGCTCACAGCCTACACCCCACAGACGGAGCACACGGCAAACACCGCGGCCATCGGAGTCAACGCAGCAGCCATCGCGGTGCTGCAGGGCCAACTGTCCGCCCTGCCCGCAGCTCCGGATCTGACTCCCTACGCCCTGGCGGCGGACCTCGCCGCAGCAGAGGGCTCCATCCTGGCCAACGCTTCCGGGTTGGTGGCCGTCAACACCAGCCTGACCCAGGGCCTGGCCACCAAAGCCAACCAGTCGGCCCTGGATGCTCTTCAGGTCGAGGTCAATGGTAAATCGACGCCCGCTTCCGTGGACCTCAAATTAGCCAGTCACCCCACGACGGCTGCGACGAACAGCAGCATCGCTTCGGCCAACAACGCCACATTAGCTACTGTTGCGGCAACCTACGCCCTGAAATCGGTGGTGGACCAGCTGGCGATCGATCTGGCGGCCCGGCAAACAGCCGCCGACGTGGACCAGCGCGTCGCCACGGCTCTATTGGCCTACGTGCAGCAAGCGGCCCTCAACGCCGCACTGGCACTCAGAGACGGCCGGCTGGACGGCCACGACGCCGACATCTTGGCGCTGCAGAGCGCAGGACCCTTCGCCCTGCCCAGCGAGATCACGGCTCTGCAGGCATCCATCGACAGCATCCTGGCGGAGATCGCCACGCTCGGCGGCGCCACTAATCTGGTCAATGCTCCGGCCTGGCCCGGCGAGATTACCTGGGACCTGCTGGCCGGCACCAATCAGATCCGCAACTTGCACGCCGCGGGTCCCCTGAGCATCCAGCTCGCGAACGACAACTGGACCCTGTCCTTCTCCGTGGACAGCTACAGCATCGCCGAAACCGACGGAGCCATCGCCGCGGCCCTGACGAACCACTTCACGCGGGCGGAGGCCACCGCCAATTTGGTGGCCGGCATCACGGAATGCAAAGACTACACGGACACGCAGCTCCTGAGCTACAGCGACACCGTCGCGACGAACCAGCTCATCGCGGACGCGCTCCTGACCGTGACCCTGAGCAACGGCCAGTCCTGGACCGGCGGGCCGACGTTCAACCTCCTGAAGGGCACGAACGTCCTGCGCAACCTGTCCGTGGCGGGAGCTCTGACGGCGACCTTCCAGAACCTCGACGACACCATCCTCATCGAGTCCGACTCCTACCCCAGGAGTCAGACCTACACGCAGCTGGAGACGGGAGCTGCCATCACGGCGGCGATCGACGCGCTCAATTTGTCCCAATACCGGACGGAGGCCCAGGTGCTGGCGCTCATCGCCGGCGAGCTGGTGCCCTACTACTGGGACCAGACCGAAGTGTCCAGCTTCGTGGCCGGAGAGCTGGCCAACTACCAGACCAGCAGCCAGGTGAGCGCGGCCATCTCCTCGGCCCTCTCGAGCTACGACGACAGCAGCCAGGTGGACTCGAAGATCATCACGGCCCTGCTGGACTTCTACAGCCGAGCGGAAACGGACCAGGCCATCGCCGACGCCGTGACCAGCGGCACGGACCTGTCGAACTACTACACCATCTCCCAGACGCAGGGCTACGTGGCCAACGAGCTCCTCTCGTTTTATCCCAGGACCGAGCTGGACTCCCTGCTCACGGCAACGCTAACCCAGTATTGGACGTCGGGCCGCACCCAGACCGAGATCGACGATGCCGTCGCCGGATTGCTGGACCAGACCGCGGGGGACGCCCGCTACTTTGTGCGCGCTCCCGGCGCCGAGTCGGGGCAAATCTGGAACTTGGTGCAGGAACAGTTCACGCCCCGCATCGTGAGGAACCTGCTCCTCGAGGCGCCGCTGGTCGGCGACGCGATCCTGGGCAACCAGTCCACCTTGCGCATCCGGAGCGATACGTGGAGCAAGGCCGAAGCAGATGCCCGCTTCCTGCGGACGAATGACCTGGCCCCCCTCGACGCCCGCTACTTCGTCACCACTCCCGGCGCCGAGGGAGGCGGCATCTTCAATCTTGCTCAAACTCAATTTGTTCCAAACATAATCAGGAACCTGCTCTGCCAAACGCCCCTGTCCTGCCAGCCCATCTTGGGCAACGGCAGCACCCTCCAGATCTCCTGTGATTGTTGGTCGAAGGGACAGAGCGACACCCGCTACCCCCTCACATCGCCAACTTCAACTCGCTGGGCCAGCGGGTCACGGACCTGGAGAACAGCCCGGGGGTGGACCCCACGGCGGACCTCACCGTCAACTCCCTCACGGCCACCGCCTTCGTGCAGACACCACTGCTGCAGAGCGCCGCTGCAGACCTGCAGCTCCGGAACGCCACTACCACCATCCGCGCCGAGGACGGCACGCTGCTGGCCTCCTTCGCGGCCGCCGGCATCGGACTGGAGCAAGACATCACCGTGCGCTCGAACCGCACCTTAAATGCCACCACCGCGGACTTCGCCCAGTTCTTCGTCGGCAGCACCGCTGCCACGGGGACCTTCAGCAGCAGCAGCTCCGTGTCGGCCAATCTTGAGATCGAGAGCGACCTGAGGCTCCAGGCGCCCCTGGTGCGCGCCGATCCGGCGGCCCCCTGGCTCACGGTCCAGGGCGGGACCAACGGCATTCTGATGGACGACACGGTGCGGATCAACGGGGTGCTGGGCCCCGAAGCCAGCCTGCCCTTCCTGAGCCTGTCGGGGGGGACCAGCGGCGTGCAGGTGCTCTCCCCGCTGCTGGAGCAAATCGCCGTGGGACCCACGGACGGCACGGTGGGAGTGGTGGTGCGCAACGCCGCCGCGACGGGAGAGGCCGCGCTGCTGCTGGCCGGCGTGGCGGAGCTCAAGGTTCGGGCGGGCGGCAACTGCGAGTTGAACGCCCTGTTCCAGTTCATCTCCTTCAACACCACCAACGGTCTGGCCAACATGGCCATCGAGCCCAACATCGGCGGGAGCAATGACGGGGAGGTGATCTTTGGGTACGGCTTCGTCAATCTGAGCGACCGGGCGCTCAAGGAGAACGTCCGGGCCATCCCGGAGGAGGAGCTGCAGCAGACCTTCGACGCGGTGGAGCCGCAGCTCTTCGACCGCATCGGAGGCGGCAAGGAGCAAATCGGCTTCGTGGCCCAGGACGTGCAGGCCAGCGGCAAGCTGGGGGCGACGATGTGCAAGACGAAGAACCTGGACGGCCGGGAGCTGATGGCCCTTGACTACCAGAAGCTCTCGGTGGTGCTCTGGGGCGTGGTCAAGAAGCTCCAAAGGAGGGTGGAAAAGCTCGAGAAGAAGAGGGGGCGCAAGGACTCGGACTAAGGAAAATGGCGGAGGAGGAGGCCATCGGGCTGTTCCAGCAGCTGGCCCGGGACTTCAACGTCAGGGACGCGAGAAAGCTCTATCAGATCGCCCGGCGAGAGTTTCCGGGGCGGGCGGACCTTACGAGTGCGCGGGCCCAGGCGGCATTGCGCAGCGACGTGGCGAGGCAGATCCTCGCACCGAAGCCGCGGAGTCTGGGGAAGAGTGCGGCGGAGGGGCCCAACGACCGCCTGCAGGCGGACCTCATCGATTTCGCCCAAAACACGCGGGGGCCGAACAAGTTCGGGCTGGTGGTCACGGATGTGTTCACGCGCGAGGTGGCCACGAAGGCCCTGCCCGACAAGTCGGCCCAAACGGTGACGCGGGCGGCGGCGGAGATCATCCCCCAGCTGGTCCAGGACGAGTCGAATTACGTCGTCACCACGGATATGGGTAACGAGTTCCGGGGGCTGGAGGCGGCACTGCCGGGGGGCGTGGTGCACCGGCAGAAGGACCCGACGGATCGCAATGCGACCGCGGTGGTGGATCGAGCCATCCAAACATTGAAGAAGGATTTGGCGGGCGAGGTGGCCCGGCACGGCGGCGGGTGGGGCGACCACGTGGACGAAGCTACGGAGGCCTACAACGCCCGCCCGCATGCGGCGGTGACGGTGGCTCCCGAAGATGTGGAGACGATGCCGGCAGCCACCTTTCGCGTTTATCAAGATAATGCAGCCAAGTTCCAGCACAACAAAAAGCTCACAGAGGGTCGCAAACGTCGATTGGAAGAAGCGGGTGCGTTTAGAGCTCCAACAAATGCAAGAAGAAGCTTCGAGCCACAGTACGGACCTGCTCGCGATGTTGCAAGCGTTGACTCCATGGTTGTTCGTGCCACAGATGGAACCGAAACTCTGTTGAAACACGCACTTCCAGTTCTGAGAGGCAGTGCCGAGCCCAAAGCCAAGTTGACTCGACCTCCCGTGCCTCTCGCCATCCGCCAGCTTCGAGACTTCAATCCTGGGCCTGTCGCCCCACCTTAATCTTTCTCATGAACGAAAATGACTGAGCTTTCGTCCGCATGCCAAGCTATCATGCAAGCCCCTTCCGAAAAGCACTTGGTGGCGTTACTTGATCAGTGGTCGCCACAATGGAAATGGCGGGGTCGACAACGAGCCATTGGAGCCGGAGCATATGAGCGGTACTGCACCTTGGGCCTTTATGCTTTCGGAGGCAATGCTCCGAACGTGTCTAAAGCTTCCTCAATGAAAGAAGCATGCATAGCAATCAACCATTTTATGAGACATCGCTTTCCAAATGGAACCTGGACTTCCATTGCCGTCCTGCTGAATCCCAGAATCGGATTGCATCGCGACATGCAAAACATGGTCGGAAAGCTGAACCATGCCATTGCTCTTGGAAGTTTCAGTGGAGGCAGAGTCTGGATTGAAGACGATGGAGCTTCAATGGAAAAGCTGCGCAAAAATGGCAGAGTTCGTGAGCTCAAAGGCTTGTGGGTTGACATTCATGACAAGCCTGTCTCTTTCAACGCACGACGCTTTCATAAAATTGAACCACATAAAGGTCATATGTGGGCGCTAGCAGCGTTTACGCCGCAATCGTTTCGACGTTGCTCCGATGAAGTTTGTTCACAGCTGAAAGAACTCGAATTTCTATGCGAAAGAATTCGAATGAAATCGACATTCTGGCAGAGTCGCAGGCCAAGCTGGCAAACTCCGACCCCGGCCGCACTGTGGAAGTTCTGGAGTGGATTCCAGCAAAGCCGCGCCATGGCAGAAGAAGACCCTGGTGAAGGCCAGAAACCTGCACCTGAGAACGACCAGGAAGAAGACTCTGGTGAAAATCCGCAAACCAATGAGGCTGGTGAGCAACCAGAGGCGGCAAGTAGCTCGTGGGATGGCCCTGGTGCGGCACGCAGCTCGTGGGAGCAAACTGGTGCCAGACCAAGGACTCCCCTCTCAGAGTACAAGAAATGGTAACCGCAATAGGCCAGGAGAGAAGGAACGCCAGCAACGCCAACAACCAGAGGTGTTCCAACACCCCCTAGTTCCTCAAAGGCCAAGGCAAAAAAGGAAAGAACAGTGAAGGCAAGAAGAAAGGAAAAGAAAAAGAACACAAGCCAGAGAAAAAGCAGTCTGGCAAGTCGGAGGGCAAAACGCCTCTTCTCTCTCCGCAAAAGGCCGGCTGCGGCCATGGAAGCTCCAACCAACGTGGCAGCTCCGCTGAGAAGCAGGAGTACTCGTACTGTACGGAAGAAGAGAAGCCACAGCTTAGATAGGACCCACACCAGAGTTTCTAGCAGCGGCCCGGGCCGGAGCAGAAGCAAGGAGAAAGGCCAGGAGAAACGACTGGCGGCAGAGACTCCAGGAGGTCCAGCAGCAGCTCATCTTTGGGAGAAGAGAAAAAGAAGAGGAAAACCCACAGAGCCTCCAATCTGAGAGAAGTAACTTCGCCCGCAACTGAGCCTGCAAGCTCCAGGGCAACGTGGAAGTCCAACTTGAGCACTCTGCTCAAGCACTCCAAAGCTCTGGTGGAAACCAGGTGGAGCCACCTCAGAAAGGAACTAGAGAGGACCACTTGGGTCCAACAGCTGGCTGAGAAGCTTCCACAGGACGAGGTTTCATCAAGCCTGAAACCACCGGTGAAAACACCGAAGGACAATGGCTTCTCCAACGAGCCATCGAAGGTGAGAACGGGCCCAAGAGGGCTGGGAGTTAACCACCCGGCGCCGGACTACCCAGCACCATGACTAGGTGCAGGTAGAATAGGTCAGCTATGACACCTCTGGTGTAACCAGGCTCAGCCGCCGCAGTGCCGTGACCCCAGGACTCACCGGTGTCACAGGGACCTGATGCAAACTCGGAAGCCTTTTGGTTTGCAGTGGAGGCGGTGAAACTGCCACAGTAGCTCGACAGCCTGGTTTGTTGATGGGGTAAGTTCGCCCCGGATTCGGCCGGAACCAGAACGCGGCCTAGGAGGCTCAGGGCTGGCTTTTAGAAGGCCCAAAAGTGCGTGCAAAGTCCATGCAAAATCTTTCGGGCCACTCAAAATTTCAACCTGGTCTATTTGGAGTCATCACTATGGAGCCTGGTTAGACCAGCTTTTGGCTTAGGCTTTTTCGGGGCTTCCCCAGGCTAGTACAATTTTGACCCTGGAAAGGAGTATCTGGAGAGCCTTTAGGCTGGAGTGGGGAGAGGCCTTTGTGGGGGCCTTTGCTTTCGGTTTGCCTCAGAGGCTGACTTTGGGCTCGGGTTGGACCCTTAGCTTTGAGTTTGTTACTGGCAACTTGGTTGTAAAAGGCACCAACACCAGTATCACCACCATCATGGGCACCATCAGCATCCCCATCCCTTTGCTCAACCCTGCTCTTGTCCGTGCTGTCTGTCTTTTTGCTTGCAGTGGTCCTGGCTAGACCAGCTTTTGGCTTAGGCTTGGCTTTAGGGGCTTTCCCCAGGCTTTTGCCTTCTTGAGCCTGGAGAGGTTTTTCAGGCGGGCCTTGAGGCTTGGGTTGGGAGATGGCCTTTGGGGGGTTCTGTGTGCTCGGCTGGCTCAGAGGCTGGCTTTTGGCTCGGGTTTGGGCACCCTTAGCTTTGGTTTTTCTCATGTTACTGGCGTCTTGGTTGACACCAACATCAACACCAGCAACATCATCACCAGCCACACCATCATCCCTATCCGTCCTAGGCTCCTCCCTGCCCTGCTCCACACTGTCGGTCTTTTTGCGGTCCATGTCGTCCGGCGGGTTTTCCTTTTGGGGGGCCTGTTGGGCTATCTTAAAAAAGCCTGATTTTTGCGGGGCAAACTTTTGAATGCACTGCAAGATCTCTGGGTCCTTGCCCACGTAGACCTGCCTACACTGTTTACCCAGGCTAGGGAACAGCTCTTGGCGTCCGATCCATTGGCGGACACCACACTTGCAGCAAAGCCACATACGGCATTGACCATCTTGTGTGATGGGTGCTCTCCCATGTGTGGGGCTGAAGGTTCCATCCACTTGCACGTGTGGCCAATTTTCTTAGCAAAAGTTGCCTTGGCCTCTACTTGCTCAATGTAGTGCCCACACCTTGTGCAGTTGACACGCAAGTTGTCCCTGCTGCGGTGGCCTTCTCGCCACTGATGCCCCATCTCCGGTTTGTGACCGGCAAGGAGGGCTTCCAGCTGCTGCCTTTTGTTGGGGCCGTCACTGGGGCTAGGTTGGACTGGTTTATCACCAGTTTGTCGTTTCCTCCCTTTGGTTTGGAGGCTGGTTTTGACTTTGGGGCCTGGTTTTTTTTTACTTTTTGGGTTTTCCTGGTCACTGGCACCAGGTTTTTCTGGGAAAACTACCTGGGGTCCTTCACCAGTGCCGTACTGGAACAGTTCCTGCACTCTGTTTGCCAGGAAACCATTGATGCGACCTACCACCTCATCCTTGATGAGTACCTGTTGCTCCCACTGAAGGTTCCTTCGCTGGTTTGCAGCTGCTCGCACCAGCTTGTCGACCTCCTGGTTTGCCTCCCAGCGCCACCAGTTTGCTTCGCCAAAATTCTTCTGGAATTCTGTCTGGGAAAGGTGGGAATTTACCCAGGTGAGGCACAGGCGGTCTCGGTGGTGGCGCAAACTCTGAAAGATGTCTTCCGATTTCCAACCTGGCGCCCGGTTCAAGCACTTCGGCACCCCTTTGCAGTCCAACGTGACGTCGACTGCCTGTGACGTTTGGCTCCACTCAACCAACAGTTTGTGAAGGAACCGGAAATGTTGGTTGATAACGGTGAAAGTGGGGTCCTCATGCTTGTTTGTGGCCTGTTCGATCACAGCTTCTGTTGAACCCAAGCTCATCCTTCCTAACACGCTGGCATGTTGGTGGCGGACCCATTTAAGGCGCTTTGGTGCAAGACCAACCGCAACATGCCCATAAAGGGCCACGCCAAAAACTCCCTGCTTGTTTGCAGTGGTCAGCGCTTTTTGCGGTGGCGCAAGCTGACCAAGGCGGCGTTGCCTCTTAGTTCCTTTAGCAAATCTAGCCTTGTGGGTGGTGACGCGTCTGCGCCTGCCCCCTGCACTATCAATGCCAAGGTCCTTTGCCAGCGACTTGACCTGCGGGTCGTCGTCTTTGAGGAGCTTCTTCAGCTCTTTTTCTGCTCTGGGGTTGGAGCAGACCCAGGCGCTTTTGCCTGCACTGAGCGGGAGCTTCGCTCTTTCTAGCTGCGTCTTGACCCTGGTCCACACCAGGTATGCTTGTTTTGCACAAGCCTTGGCATCTCGGTTGACAATGTCGAAACCAGTGTCGTCAATGTACAGGTCGACATGGCATTTTGGCGGACCTTGCCAGATGGGTTCCACCACATTATGCATGATCAACTTCGAGAGTCCTGGGGCCAGCGGACAGCCAGCAATGATTCCTTTTGTGGCAACTAAAGGTGCACTAATCATGTTTTCCGCACACAAGTGTCGCTTTCCTCTGTAAACTTGCATGGCTCCATGCAAGAGGAGCGGCGGGTACTTATGCTTGAAAGCAGCTCGGATCAGTGCCGTGTGTGACACATTCTCATAGAAGCCACGGAGATCAAGCAGTAGCGTTATGCCTGTTTTCCCATTCTGGCGATACATTTCTCCTTTGAGGACCCGGGTCACCGCAACCTCAAGGGATGAGAGACCTTTGACTGCTCGGTCCCAAGGCGCCGTCGCCTTGTATCCTCTCGCCCATTCATCATAGAGATGGTACCTGGTTTTGCACCAGGCACGGTAGGCATACGACGTGAGCCCAATCGGCCAAAAGGGCAGGCATGCTGCCTTCCAGTTCCCAGTCTCTGAAGGCTTGTGTCACCAGGGCAACCTGGTCAGAGCTCAGTGTCCTGAGCATTTGAGCCGAAATTCCATCCGGCCCAACAGCCTTTTTCAGCACCTTTTCAACCTCCTTTTGTTCCAGAGGTCCTATTTGCTCCAGCTGTCGGAGCGCACCAGCCTTTAGCTGGTCAAAGAGGAGGTCTTGTTGAGGCTGATTTCCTGGCAGTGGCTGCTAGGTGGCCTTCCACTCCTGCCTGCGCAAGTGGAGCCGGAGTTCCCCGCTTTGCTTTCTGTAGGGCCGGACTTGGACATTTTCTGGCGATTTTAGGGCCTTATATAAACCTCTCATGCCTCCTTCACATGCTCCTTCCAACCATTCTTGGTACTGCTTCTGTCTTTGTTGTTGCCACTGCTTGGCTTCGTCCTTTCTGAAGCACAGTTTGGACAACTTGCACGTCTGCAGCATGG